TACTTAAAACACAGCGGAGGATTAGGATTTGTAATAAATAATGACATTCCTTCTCGTATCTGCTCCTGCTATAAGTGTCTAACACATTCAGCTGATAAGTAAAACATCCGTGGCTAAATGCCTGCACAAATGATTTTTCATGATTTTGAGCCTGAAATGGCCTGTGTAATATCGCTGGCATCTAAACCTGGTACCAAATGCGTTTCACCACCTAGATTTGGTTGATTAAATCTGGTGATTTTTGCAAGTCACTCTTTAAGTGAGAGGCTAAGCAAGGGATTATAGCAATCTGCTGTGCGTTCTTTCGTAATTTAAGTCGTTAACTCATTCGGCTATAGTCTGTTGCTTTAGAATAGGCATTTTAAACCCGTTTCCAACCTTCCCTATTTGCGATCATAAGGCGTGTCGTTATCCCATTTCCTCCATATCATCTGAGACTGCAGATGAAGTCAGCCTTTATTCGTGCGCTTTTCAGGAAGCGAAATGGAAGTGGAAAGAAGAAACAGCCTTTAAAAGCGACTTAAATCATCTGCTACAGCTGTGGTTCTTAAGGCTACGAGGCAAGTCGGATAGCGGAAAAACAGTCTTAAAGTTCCTGTTTTTAAAGTAATAGATTATAGCAAGATGAAGATCCGTGGTTTGAATTCCGCAGAAAGCAGAGGATTTTCTATATATTGTGCTATAAAATGTCTCGCATTCTTCTACTTGTGCTCCCATGGTGTGAGTGGCTGAACTTGAATAGCTCGGCGGCGGAACAGTCAGCTTTTCCCATTCTCTATTTCCCAGTGTCCAGTATCCAGTGGTGTCTGCACATTGTAATGTAGGGGTAGATCATTGCCTTGCTTTAAAAGAAAAATTAAGTGTTACTTGCTATTTCTGCTTTACATACTACTATATGGAAACTTAACACGGAGTCATCTTTTTTAACTTTCTGATTTAAAGCCACCTCTTATAAAATAAAATTTCATAATAGTGATTTTTTTATCATGAGTTTGTGTGCTGATTTCTTCACGAAGCTTTTATCATACATCATAACAAACTATAATTCTTGTTTGAATTCTAATCTTAATACAAAATTATTTTGCGATTTAAGGTAGTCTGTTACTAATTTTTTTTTTTTTTTCAGATCTTGTTTTTTCCTACGTTTTGTTTTAATTTTACACGAAAATTTATCTATTAATGTAGAAGTAAAACAAGATCTTAAAAGCATATATTTTTAATTGAAATATATTTCTCAATTAAAAATATCCTTCTTTTTACAATACATTTTATCTTAATCTCAAAGTCTAACAGGCCGAAAATACCTGCAGACCCAAAAAGTCGCTAGAAATCTCTTGCATTAAAAATTCCTTTTCGAATGCGCTTCTTGTTTCAAAAACATGGCAAACTGCCAAAAAGAAAGTTTTCTTTGATTACGGAGCTGATCCATTGCACCATACCGTAAGTAAAAACGTTACGTAACGTCATATGTAGCCTAAGCTAGAGTTTTTGATCTTTCCTTGTATCACGCTGTGTTTTTGTTCGCCTTGCACAATTTATTTAGCCTTTGCTTTAGACTTTAAAATATCATTTTCAAACATATTAAATAATAGTATTGTATCAAATAATGTGCTGATTATATTATTAGCATTGTGAGCGTGTAAAAGAGTATTTGCACAAAACATCAACACCATGAGAATCTGTTTGAGCATATTTTACACATGAAATAAACTTTCACATGACAATTATTTTGGTTACGTTGTAGAGACTTTAGCATTTTTTATGCTGAGAAACGTGAAAAATGAGCAATGCCCTCAACGGGACTCGAACCACTCGAATACGCGCCGAGTGTCCTGCCATTACACCACGAAGGCATGATAAGAAGGCGGAAAAAATACGTTATAACGTAATAACTTTTAATAAAGCTATTAAGGAATTAAATTTTTATATAGGCCTAGCACAAAAAAAACATGTCTGTGGGAATAGTGTTTGGTAAAGTCGGATTATAGGCAATAAATCTCTATCCTCGTTGGATCAAAATTACACGTAATAATATTCATGAAATTATGGAAAATTTAACCTTTTACAATAATTTCTCTAGCAACAGAGTTACTAAAAAGTACTTGGTAGAAATTCATTTCTTTAGAATTATTGGCTTCAATTATCATATTATATAAAGGATAAAATTAGGAAATTTGTGTTTAATTTATACGGAACCTGTGTAACTATTTCTGGCCTTCAAAACTAAGTCAGACTTTTTATAACATGTATACAGGCAATTTAGTCTTCCATAGAAATAATGACAACCCTGAAGAAGGTCTAAAAAAATTTATTTTTTAAATTTTATTAGAACATGTATTTAAAAATTAATATAGTTCATGTAGTAAAAATATGTCACCGCTTGTTGCTAAATTTAATAAAACATAACAGTAAAGCAATTAAAATATAAATTTCACGTGATAAAGTCCTGTTGTCAGCTTTGGCTCAGGCCCTGAATTTACGTGAGCAAACACAGCTAGTAAGAAAGTTAAAGCCGATCTAAACAACTCTGGGAGCTAAGTGTAAACAGCACGCAGATCAGCCTTCACTGCTAAAGCTTCTTCTTAACTTTAAGAACTCTGTTCTTTTATAAGTTCATTAAATTTGCATCCTGGTAGGAGCGGATGACATTAGTCGTAAAAATAAAAGATAATGAGTCTTTTCTTCAAGTAAAAATGGTTAACATTCCATGGCTTTGATAGTTTGACAGATTTAAGACGAAATTCCTCAATATAAGGTTTATTCCTAGAAGATTTTTTAAGGTATGGAACTAACTCGAACTCCGAACAAAGTCTGTGTAAAATATTTAAACTTCGTATACTTTTACTAAAAACGTTTTAGGTAACTAAACTTTTATTTCATCCGTTCCACAACCATTTGTCTACAAGCAATCGCTCAAGAGATATTTATGTGTCTACAATTTTAGAAATACTTGTCTAGTTTTATCATTTGATAAAGCTAGACATATTTGACGGTAAACAGCTTGAATAAACAAATATTTCTAGATTTAGAAAGTATATAATTTTTTATTTTTTATTCAAAAAAGCAAAGCTTTTCCTTTGTGACGTATTTATTGCATTAGTCATTGCAACAGAGGGAACATCTGTCAAACTGTTTTATTGATGACTGACTTTTTAAGGGCGAGCAGCCTGATGGACTTCATCTAATGTCTGCTGACCAGGAGAAGTAAATAATAAGAACAATATAAACACGTTATTTATATGGCCCATTTAAATTCTCGGTTAAATTTTGGCTTTTCTAGAATAAAATCGACGAAATTTCTCTAGGGAGTTATCATATTGTCTTATGATGCACTGAAATTTACTGCTTAACTCTAAGAAAATTTAAGACTATTATAGACCATTTAAAACTATTTATATATTGTTATATAAACTTTATATACTATTTAGATAATGATATATTTATTATACTATTGTATCTATACTATTACATTAATACTATTACAATTTATTTAAGACCATTTTGTCGTACATTCCTGAAGTCGTGTACCTTTAGCAAACACGAAAATGATTTCCGATAAATTTTAAAATGATTGACGTTTCGAAACAATATCCAAATTTAATAAATAGCCCCTTCCAGTGTGTTTGATCTAAGTTTTTATCTTTCTTTCGAATCGCCGAAGATTGGATCCAATCGCTGAATCCTGTTGTTGACGAATTATTGTCCACCACCTTTTAGTTCGAGCGCCACTATAAAGATTTTAGGTTTTCTTGAAGCAAGAGATGTGAAAAATGGACAGTAGCCTTGCGGAGTGTCGAACCTGAACCTCTCAAATACGCGCCGAGTGTCCTGCCGTTACACTACGAAGGCATGCTGGAAGGAGAGAGAAAAAGCCTTCTAATATGTCTACAGACGTTTTGGGGATCACACTTTTTTATCATCATAATTGGTCTTGTTGTAAAGACATACTGGAACAGATAGGGTTGCTAGCATTCTTGAGCCGCTGGATGTGCGAATACCAGTCTTCTCTTATAAATATTTATACATTCGCCTGTAAAATAAGAAAACTTAACGGTATCTGCCTCTCGGTTCCTCTATCCAATTAGAGAACAATTTCTTCACGTTTAAAATCGGAATCAGACTTGGACTGGGTCAACTGACTGGTCTGTCAGCATGCTCATCTTTCATACTTTCAATAATGCAAACTTTATCCTATTATTATATCGCATTGAGTGTCAAAATAGATAGATTTATATCCCTAGCTGTTGTTCATATAATATTCCTGTATTCATTCATAACAATTATTGTCAACTTTTAATCTATATTAATTGTAGTTTTTTAGATTTATTACCAGCGTATTTAGATTTTAAGGGATTAATCAATTTCAAGGGTAAATAAATAATTAATGGTGATAAACAATTTACTAAAGTAACTTTATGAATATTGTTTCAATGCAAGAAGAATGTTTCCGGTAAAGAAAGAATTATTTACAAAGTTCTTATTTCTGTTTGTTAGATTTCAGTTTGAATATTGCTGCTTTCCTCCGAGCTCAGAAAAATAGAAACCTTCGAAATTATTATTTCATCAGCTTTTGATTTGCAATATATACGGTGGTATCACGCGTAGCAAAAGTGATCCATTCAGTGATGTCTTTCATTATGCTGGACAGTAATTCCTACAGATTATTGTGAAGGTTATGGTGTTTTTTCCTTGAATCCGGCTTTAGGTCTCACAATATCGTGTAAAAGGAATTTCAGAGCATATAAAAACCACCGCCAATATTAGAATTGCTAGGAATTTAATAGTTTATTAATCTGGATAATAGTTTATTAATTATGAAAATATTTACATGTGTTACTTAAGTACATCGCCACACAGTTTATTTCAGTTTAAATCTTTCACTGGAGAGAGAAACCTCAACCGTCCTTTACGTTCCTGCATGTGTGCTTTTGTTTTGTTTTGTTTTTCGTAGATATCTATATTTCAAAACTTCATCTAACATAGTCTTCCTTTTCTTCTAGATGGTCTTGAAGAACTGCATAGTTTTGTCATTGAACAGCTCAGCCATTCTGTTCATCTCTGTTTATTGGGATGTTACTGATTGCTTGAAACCTGAATCCCTTAAGCAACTTCCGTTTTAAGACATCTGAGATGAATCTAATTTCCACTTCTTCTGAAGGTCCTTGGCAGTTATAATAAGCATGGACTCTTTGTATTGGTCATCCTCCTCATCAAAAGAAACTTCTCTCGGGTTTCGCAGTGCTCTTGGTAAAGATGGAAATGCAGTTCTTTAGCGGTAATGTAATATTAATATATGTTTATTTTTCCGATACTTTGCTCGCTTTCTTTATGCACAGTCATTGTTTTTGTATTAATGTGCTGTTAAAATAAAAATTCCAAGAAATTTAGCTTTAAATTTAATGTGGCACAATCCGCATGTGCTTCATAATGGGGCGGGCAGAGCTTTTTATGCAGGATATTTTTCACTGAGAGCTGGCCTTCCTTACGCGAAACGTTTGTTATACGAGTCATTCGTTATGCGAGGTAGCAGTTATGGGTTAGTTAAGAGTAGTAGTTATTTGAGATAGGTATTTGACTATGTGTTTTATAAATACGACTTAAAAACACACTCTTCCTAAATATGTTAGGTAACGCCACATGTGTGAAACAAAAAAGACTAACTTTAACTATATTGAAGTATTATATTAAATAACCACTGTAAGGATCGCCGTAAATATTTCTAGACAAAACATATTCCTCCAACATTTTTTATTTGCCACCGAAACAAGATTCAAGGCTGTCTCAAAAAATCGATCAAGAATACAAACTGGTTGAATCGAGCCTAACAGACAGGACTTCCTCGCAAGAATGGTTTTCTGAGAATTTTGGCCGCGCATAGAGAAACAACACATTATATAATAATCTATATAACAGTGTTTTGTTTACTTCATGTGTTTTATTTACAGAGTGGTCATAAAAACAGTTTCCTAATGCATGCACCCTAGCGGCCTATCCGCTCAACGAATTGAAATGAAATTTTTGATATTGTTACTTGAAGGTATGCACTCGAGGTTATGATTATTTGAAACAATAGATTACGGTTAGAATGAAAATATTTTGAAATCTTTTAACGGCAACCCCCCCGTTTTTCTTGCGCAACTTGATTAGCGCGTTGAAAACCACAAGCAGCGTTGGAACGATACACGTATGACGAAAATTGCCAGTATAAAACATTTGTAGGTAACTATATCTTAAATTTGAAGTATCACGAATCAACAGTGTCTTTTTATCGAACTGGAGATTAAAACAAACCAGAATCGTTGCAAAAGCTATAGTTGCACAATTGCCAGGAATCGAACCAACTAGTTTGTATTCGTCCTGATCGTTGCTTTCAGTCTGCCATCACTTAAACCTCGAGTTTTGCTTTGGAAGCAAAGAAAAGGAAATTTTAGGAATACGTTTAGTTATTACGTAGTATTACGTAGTACATTTAGTTATTACGTAGTATAGTAGTTAAGTATTTACGTATTTGCAACTACATTAATATTTCTTTAATACCTGTACAATTAATCCTTTGCTTTAGTTACAATGTTTAAATAAACGCTGGCAAGTTTTCTAGCTTTAATCTTCCAGTTTTCTTTTCTAAATAAATCTTTCTTGTCAAAATATACCTATGACCTATTACATTCTTTGAATCATAAATGTTAAGCTTAAAGTTTGCATTGAGGAATATGCTTTGATGGATGTTTTAGATCCGTAAAATGCTTGATTCAAAATAGTTGACTCTTATGAAAGCCAAAATTAATACTATCCGCGGTATCGTAAGTATGTGGTGTTATAGGCAACTGATGACTATCGGAAGTGCAATTTTTATTTTATTCCACTATAACTGTTAGCATTTCAGTCTCTGGAAAAAATTTTTAAATATAGAATTCGATGTTTATTCAGTAGTAATTAAGCCAGTTTTCTATGAGTCAAAAGTTTATTCACTGACAATTTAGGACGAATGGGAATAATGACATCTGAAATTGCTTTCTCATATGCTTTAACGTTGCTCTGAATTTATTCTTATTATTTGTAATTAATATTATAAAATTAAACATCTTTGCCTTTATCTTTTCGAAGATTCTCTAAAGATAAAATTACAAAGTAAAAAACTGCGTCGGAGCTGAATCCTCAATTTATCTGTTGTTTAGCTAAAAGTCTTTCAAAGAACTAAGTTAACTGAAAGAAGCAGATCTGTCTTTTTTCACTTTAAAAAAATGAATAAATAATGCACTGGCGTGCAAAATAGCGACAGAAACTCCAAAGAACAATTCGTAGAGTAAACGTAAATGACCGTAAAAATCCATAATGTTAGGGAGTTGATAAAAAAGATTTTAAAACTCCGTGGATGTAAAGTATAAAGAACTCTGTGGATCGGAAATACGAAAGTGAACCCTGCCGTGAGGCTTAACAAAATGGCACGACGAACAACGGGAAATAACGTTAGACGAGAAAAATAAAAAAAATATGTACATGTACGTATATTTACATAGAAGCATTGTTTTGAATTTTGCTTTTTCAATAACCCCACATACTTAGTTTTCCGTCTACAGGGCAGAAGAAAATAAAAAGAAAAAGAAGAAAAGGAATTTTTTTTTCAATGAGTTACTTATTGATGGAAGTAGCTTTTATATCATACACTAGCAAAATACACTTACCGGTTTTTCTTGCTCAACGAAGCTAACTAAAGTGCGAATACGTAGAATTATGCAAAATAAATTTTTCAAATCCCGTTGTTGGAAAGTAATGAGGTAAACAAAGTGGAGAGCGATTCTGCAAATAATCCGCTAAAAGGACTTCGATTTTCTAATAGCTTGTTTAGGCAGGGATGTAAATTCTTATATTTTTTTTTTCAAAAAGCCCGAAAGCCTGATTTATGGATTTTTCTCTTTTTTTAGTTCTAAGAGCATAATGTTCATCTTTTTTCACATTTTACTATGGTTAAAAATAAGCTAATTTTCCTGTAAAGGAAAAGTTCTAATTTTTATTTTCATTGACGTTTACTATGAATGAAAAAACTTGAATATTGTCTGGAATTCATGCTTTTGTTATACCAATCGAGTTGCAATTAATTTTAAAGATTTTAGAACCCGCAATTCTTTTTAATTAACTAAACTGCACGATAACAAAAAGAGGAGTACTGTAACATTAGAGCGAGGAAAACTGTATTTGTGATGCAAAACAACAAAAAACAGCAACGTTAATTGCGATAACTTTAGTTGAGAAAACAACTTTAGTGGTCGATTATCATGTTACTCTAAATCAATTATAATTAATTCCGGATTTATGGCGATAATATCGGAGAATAAGTCTACATTATTTTGAAACCGTGATTAATCCAAGGGCAGTGAAAGAACATGCAGGGAAGAAGAATAACTTATGTTACTATTAACAGAAAAATGTTATCAATAATATGTCTGTATTTTCAAGTAATTTATTCCAAATAATAAGTACATTTTGTTACGTAAATTAAACCAGTATTTAAAATAAATTTGAATATGCTTCAGAACAAAAGGAACAATGTATTTTGGCATTATTCCTTATGATTCCTAGGAGCTCACCAGCATCCGAGCGGTAAAGTCGCTGCACACTGGTAGTTCGGTCCGGGATTTGAATCCTGGTGGACGGGCTGGTTGTATGTGCGTTTTCGTGGTTCTTCCCGTGTGTAACGTGCATACAAACTAGTTTCCCTCCGAAATCCCTCCACGAAGGCATCCCTCTCTTTAAGCAGATAGGCCTTGAGTGCTTTGCCATAGTCAAAGAAACCAAACTAAACGTTACATTACCTAAAAGTCAATGGGAAATGGATAATTTAATGCCTTATACTCAATTTAAAATTGAACAATTTACGTTGAAGGTATGATTTAACAGTGTTTTTTAACTCCGATTACAACAGTTGAATTACGCATTGTTTAGGAGAAAAGTATCTCCCAAACTGTTGTTATTTTAAATGGCTGATCACTTCCATCTTACAGCATTCGTCAGGAATGGCCAGTGAACACTGGTCATTTAGCCGTCTCATCTCCCATAATGTTGTCAAAGTGTACAAAGAGCGAGATCAATTTTACACCCACGAAAATAAAGAAATGTCTGTCCTAATTTTGACAGAGAATACTCCGGTTTGGATGAATCGGAATCTTTCCCACTTCTCTTTCCCTTACTGCCAGGCCTTTTGAAAAGACTTTCAGCTGAATAGTATTTTAAATGCCCCTTATGACGCACAGATAGAATATATTTACAAACATCCAAGTTTTCTCAGAGATTCGAAACCAGTCCGTCGATATAACAGCCAGCAATGACAACCACTATACTGATCAGTGCGGCATTTCCTACATTCTATAACACCCTATCAGTGTGGTTATTTCACAAAAGATTTAGAGAATGTTTTATACTAATAATCGGAATATAAATGTTTCCATCCTTCTATAATAAATTAATTTAACTCATTTTAGTAGGGGTCCGATCAATAATCGGTTAATAACTCTCCCATTTAATCGAGCTTCGACTAAATGAGAGCGAACTAAATTTTAGAATCCTTCCCAGACTTTAGCTACAAGTAACCCTTACTTAAATCTTCAAAAGAAAAGTTAAAAAGTTAGTGACATTAATACACTAGAAAGAGAGAAACTGTATTTTGAGATTCTTTAAGTCAAATAATGTGAGATTTTAAACGTTTCAAAATATGAAAACCTAATTAAAAAAATTTGTGTTTTCAACTCTAGATTATAGTGTTCAATATCTCTTAACAGAAATACGTAGCTCAATAGCTAATAGAATAGTTGCTTAGCTTGAAAAACTAGGCCCACCAGCGGCCGAGCGGTAAAGTCGCTGAACACTGGTAGTTCGGTCCGAGGTTCGAATCCCGCGAACGGGCTGGCTGCATGGGCGTTTTCGTGGTTTCCCCATGTGTAACGTGTATACGAGCCAGTTTCCCTTAGAAAGTCCTCCACGAAGGCATCCCTCCCCTTAGGCAGATAGCCCTAGTGTGCTTTGCCATAATTAAATACACCAACACACACACCTAGCTTGAAAAACTACTGTTAAAAAATTTATTAACCTTTAAATGTAATTAAGCAACTATTCCAATAACCTGAAGCTTCAGTTCTTACTTAAAATATATGAGGCCAGTCTAACGATTCTCGAAACAATGATTTATTGTTCTAATTAATTTTATTAGAAATAATTGCAAAGTATGTGCTCAGAAGGAAATGATTTTGATTTTCATTCTTTAAATGCCCTTGATTCTTATCA